TTGGACTTGAATGAATGCTTCTACATTCTTCTTGTATTTGGTGAAGATACATATGCATTTCTGTTTCATATAATCTGAGGTTGAAATTGTAGGCTACGTAGAATATGCATATGTTTAGAGATACAACTAAACAGTTTTGCAACACGGTAGTGCCATTTTTCACCAGCAATGACGAGTGATCTGATTTCCCACATTCTCACAGACATTTGCTACCCTCTGCCTTTTTAATTTTAGTCAATCAGTTGGGTGTTCAGTGGTGCTGCATTGTGCTTTAAATTTTAATTTGTATTCCTCTGGCTATTGATGAAGTTGAGCCCATTTTTATATGCTTATTGGCCATTTTGATATCCTCTTTTGGGGACTGTCTGTCTTTTGTTCATATTTTAGTTGATGGACCATATATTTATTATTGATTTGTAGGAGTTATTTATGTCCCTAGATATGAGTTGTTGAATATATATGCTGACTCTATTCTATAGTTTGTCTGTTTAGTCTCTTGATAGTATCATCAAGAAGTCATATATTTTTAATATAGTCCAATGTGTCAATTGTGGGGCCTTTTTTCTCACTTTAAGAAATATTTGCTTATTTCACAGCCTTAAAGACATTCCCTATGTTCTCTAAATGCTTCGTTTTGTTGCCTTTTACTTTTTAGTGTGGAATCCATTTGAAATTGATTCTGTGTATGCTGTAAGGTAGCGGGGTCAAGATATATCAAGTTGCTTTCAGTTTTCTTGTAGCTTAAAGTGGTATTGCAATAACTTTCCATATGAATATCTAATTGACTAAGGGTTATTTATCAAAATGACAGCAGTGTCATCTTTTTGAGAAATGCAGTATTTTTTCACTCTATTATATTTTGCTGGTCAATTAGCTTATCTTTGTGCTAATACACATTTTATAGTATTATATGTTTTAAAACATATTGATAGCTCTTTTTGTAATTTCTACAGCTTTTCTTTAAAATTGCTGTAACTATTTTTAGCTCTTTGTAATTCTATATGGATTTTAAATTTAGCTTTTTTATTTTTGCGAAAAACAGAAACAAAAAAGACAGCCTGTTGAATATTTTATTGAAACTGAACTGATGCTATGCACTAATTTGAGGCAAATCGGCAATGATATCTTTCTTTTAATTAATAAGTAATTGATATCAGCACTATAATAAAGCTTACTTTTAACAATTAATTAATCATGTAATCTT